CATATATTGCTAGGTGTTTTCATGTTCTTTATTGCATGCATGAACACTTTTTGTTAAAGTTTTAATGCTTAATTTTAAAAAAATTATTTCTTACTGGCATTGCCTCTGAGCTCATTCAGGGGATTTCTTTTCAACACATGCTACGTGGAATGAAGAACACAGAAAACACAACCCCAGAAACAGAAGGCTCACTTACAAGGTTGTTCAAATTACTAGATATGTTCACTGCATCCTTTACCAGTCCAAACTCCAGACGTTCACCTGGGAATGACAGGTCCTTCTGCTCCATTATCAGATTCTTGAACATAATCCAGAATAGCACAAAACTATGAGAAAGTGAGGATTCAGCATGTTGCATTCTGTTCAAACAAATATTCCCATTGTATTGGACTGAATTACTGAAGACTAATACTCCCTGAAAAGAGGGAACAGAGCCCAGTTCATTTTATGCTTCCCCAGCACGCACAGATGCAGAAACATCCCCATTTACAGATTCAAATCCCCTCATGAGAGAGTTGTCAGAGGTTAGAGTACATGCAGTGAACATCCTGTTATTGGACAGCTTTAAGAAACTCATCTGCTCCAACATATTTTGGTAGTCCCTCTATGTCCCAGTAGCACAGCAAAGGTGGTGGTGCTGACACTGACCTCTTCCATACTCCAGAATGTTTCCTACCCTGAAGAGGGTAGAAGCTCTGAAGCAGAAGTTAATGCCCTGAAGATGAACAAGATTCATTACTACTTAATTTACGATGTAAAGTTTACTAGGGAGCATGCCAAAGAATTTGGTTATTCTTAGCTCTGCTATCCTGGCAGAGCTTGTGAAGCCTTAAAGCATGTCTGGTATCACACAAACCTGGAAGACAGCAGTCCTCATTCAGGCAAGTTCCACTTCCCTCTTTCTTTGGTTTGCAGAATATTGTTTGGAAAGCAATATTTTAGACATGAGTAAGTACTTCTATCTATTGGAAAGATCTTTACAACTGTAATACAGTCTAATAATCTTTGTAAAAAATACTTAATCTATAGTGTTCTAAAGCATGTAAGTTTAACAGCTACAAAGAACTATATCACTCTTCATCAAATTTTACAAGATACAAAGTCATTTGTATAGAACTCTCTTGCACCTCTATTAAACTCTGTAGTGGTTTAAATCCAGGGTTTTGATTTATACTCAGCGCTAAAAAAAAAGAAAACTAGCAGATTACTAGGAGTCTTTTGTGAATCTGATATATAACCAAGTGTCTTCCTTTCTGACTGAGAAAAATCTAGGCATTTCATGTATTTGTTTCTCCTGGGATTTTGTTGCTCGTTTGTTTTCTGTTTTTCTCCCTGTTGGAACTAATCAGTAGAAAAACAGAAGCTGAGAAATAAAAAAAAAAAAAAAAAAATCTTTCTGTTCTAGAGTCTGACATAATTCAGATGGTATCTGAAAAAAGGCTTACCTATGAATTTACTAAAATCTATTTGTCAGTTTGACATTTGTCTCTAACGGTTTCACTGTCTGTTAGGTGAGTGGGTTACCAACTCCAGACCTGACGTGGCTTCTGAACGGCAAACCTGTGCTGCCAGATGGCACCCACAAGATGCTGGTCAGAGAGACTGGAGTTCACTCTCTGCTTATTGATCCTCTCTCACAAAATGATGCTGGAACTTATACTTGCCTTGCCACTAATAAAACAGGACAAAATTCATTCAGTCTGGAGCTCACTGTTGTAGGTAAGAATCATTGAAAAACTAGTCGCAATGATGAAGTTATTTGTACGCACTTCTTCAAACTTACCTTACCTCATTTCCCCACAGACAAGTATAAATAAATAGTTAATCCACTGATAGTAGGAGAGTTCAACAGCTATAAAACTCATCTGATGGAGGGAAATGGACCTGGTGGTCAGTCAACAGGTGCACTTGTGTTATTAACAGAGGGCTGTAAGAATTCTGTCTCATCATCACTTTACCTCTCTTGCCTTGGCAAAATGACGTTCTTAATTTTCTCCCCAGAAAATGCTTAGGGTTTGAATTCATAATACACATTGAGGTCTCCTAGATTTCTGTCCCAATTTTATTAGTTTAAAAATGTTTTTAAATAGGAAAATACAAATCTGAATACTGTTCTTTAATAAAGCCTTACAAGATGCGAGATATTGAAATTCATGGATCTGGCATTAATTTCCTGCAACACTAGTATGTTTAGACCCACTAGATATGCATGCAGCTGTTTATGAACACCAGTTCTGCCTATTATTTTATGTTCCCTTAAGGAGGCTATGTCACAGCATTTCACTTTCCTTCCAATATCCCATTAAAAATTCGCAACCTATTTTGATACCACAAGAATACTTTTTGGTTGTGTTCTTCCATACTGTTCAAAGAGAAACAAAGAATAAAATATCTGTTGTTCAAGAATTCTTTTTCTTTTTCCAGCAAAGGAAGTAAAAAAAGCCCCCATGTTTTTGGAGAAGCTTCAGAACTGTGGTGTTCCTGAAGGGTACCCCGTCAGATTAGAGTGCAGAGTTGTGGGAATGCCACCCCCCATATTTTACTGGAAGAAGGATAATGAGACCATCCCATCAAACAGAGAGAGGATGAGGTACTGTACCATCGTACCCATACTTGGAGTTTCTTGTGGCTGGACCAATTGTTTCCATGAAAACCTGTGTGATAAGTACAGGTGGTGTTCTTAAAACAACTTCTTTCACCCACATAAAGTTTTAAAAAGCTAGCTTCACTGTGAGGTGAACAATAGCTACTTCCTTGGTTCAGAATAAAGGCCTGGAGCATAATATGCCACTGCTTCAGAGAGTGGGGACAGACCTTTTGGGCCATAGGCCTGATACAGCATATGCATCTTCTTATCAAAGATACTATGATACGGTATTTTAATGCATTTTAGCACCTTATTCTCTCTCTAAACTATTTTTTCCTCAGTTTACTTCCAACTAGGGATGAATTCAAACTCAGAACAGTTAGAACATGGTTTTGAATGCCCCAGAGCACAGGATAATAGAGAATTTAGCATATCAGATACAGAGGCTGATAACAAAGTTTGGTCACAAACACAAGCAAAAACTTTGATCCATGCTTACAAAATACAACAATGTTCGGATTCAGCTCTTGCATTCAAATGCATAGCTATCTTTTAGGTTTTGCAAAAGAAAAGCTGATGAAATAATGTGCCTGGCTGTAATTAGTGAGAAATTAATGGCTTTCATTTATTTTTTAAAGATTTCTACTTCAGCACAAATCTGATTTTTAATATTTTATTTCACTTGGCTCCAACTAATGGTTTGATGCAGTCGCTGGATCTCTGAGATCAACTTCAAGAAGTACTATATTTTCACATGCATACCCTGCAGGCTCTCTGTAAAGAAAACTGGCTCCGCAGCAGCACTTGTTATGAATGCACACCTATCACAAGGGAAAGCTTACTTGAAAAAAATCTTTCAGTGGTCTCCTTGTCCCCACTCAGACACTGCTGTTCCTCCGAAAAGCCCACCTGCCTCTGAGCTTCTGCAGCCTGTAGTCTTTATTCCTCTGCCTCTAGGCAGATTACTCAAGGATTTATTTCAAGTGCTGGTACTTTCACAGGAATTATGGTTATACACATGCAAACTCTGTAGTTAATGTAAAATTGACAACTGTCCTAAAATGCCTCATTTCTAGTTGTTTCACAGAAGGTTAGAAAACAAGTTTTTGCTTCAGCTCAGCAGAGGAATGACTAAGGGAAAACTCGAACACCTCACAATGCCAGGAATTAACATCAGGCTTGTAACACCTCTGCTATTTCAGCCAGTCACGACCAGACTGCCGGCCCCCAAGGCTTCCAAGGGGTTCTGCACAGATCCACGCCAGCGATGGGCAGCATTGTCCCTGTTTGCCCCTATCTTGCCTCACTAATATCTTCCTGCCTGAAGCCAAGAGACCTTTTTTGTATCAAGATATGGACATGCATGAGCTTCTATACTACTGCACCCCCAGCATAAGGCAAATTACGTAGTGCAGGGAGCAAAGGGTGAACGTTCCCTTTTTTATTAGAGCCGTCAGAAGCACAAAATGTCCTCTTGACCTGAAATTCTGTGGTTTGATGTTTCATTCCAGTTCACAAGGAAACAAAATTTCAAATTTCAGAACATCCTGCAACTTCCAAGTATTGTGATGTGCTCATCTCCCACCTCTTCCGTTATAATGAGGGAAAGAAACACTTGGGTTGATAAAAAGGACCAACCACAGCCTACAGAGCAGAGGAGCCTCAGTTCTCTGATACACTACTGAATAATTTTTCCTGGAAGTTGCAGCCAGAAGGTCTTGGATCACTGAAGAGCAAAGGAAGAAGAGGGAATAATGAAGCAGATGATTTCTTTTAGAGGTGTTGGCCAAACGAATCTTTACAATTTTGCCACTCAGGCATTTTCTCATGGAAAAGAGTGCCATAAGAAAGTTTCTGACTCACTCAGGTTACTGTTGTGAAAAATATCATAACTTTGTACAAATGTTCTTGGTATTTTGTTATGTTATTCTTCCAGTTTCTGAACTAGGAAAAAGTACAATATGACTGTGCGGCAACTTTGCGTGGGTTTACTTCATTGGAATTCAATAAACAATTCCAATATGAACACATACAGAGCAACAATTCTGCTCACACTGTCACACCGTGGCTTTGCACAGCTGAGAGGAGCAGGAACAGATTTCAGCTACTCTGATTATTGGTTGAGGCCATACTGAAAGCAAATCTATTGACTATAAATGTCTTGGACTGCTACGTCTTTGAGAATAGAAGTTACAACTTATCTATTTCATATTTAATGTATATATTGTAAAATCTCAAAGTTGATATGCTCTTGAGAAATACTAATTCCAAAACACTTGTTTTCCCAGCATGCATCAAGATACAACAGGGTATGTCTGCCTCCTGATTCAACCTGCCAAGAAAGCAGATGCTGGCTGGTATACCTTGTCTGCAAAAAACGAAGCTGGTATTGCCTCTTGTACTGCTAGGCTTGACATATACGGTAGGTATTGGCTAGTAAATAAAACAAATCAGCATTTATTTTCTTTGACTGGTCCCAGCCCTCACCTAGTTCTTACTCCGTAAATTGCTGGTTTTAATGTGGATTAGAAATTAGTGTCACAGCATGGCCACAGTTTAATATGGCCACCAGGAGGAGGTATAACGATACAGCTAAATGGCCAAATTACCTCTCCTGCATCAGTTTAAAGGCAGGTAAAGAGAAAAAAGAGAGAGGGGGTTTTGCACAGTATTCTCTACTCCCATTTTACACCTTCCAAATTCCCTAGATACATAAGCATATACTAAACATGTATTCAAGTTGAACTTTAACTCTGTTCCCTCTGACGTATGCCTATGCTACAGCCCTGACCTGAGATGGAACAATAAATTGCACACAAGAAAGCAGACCCCTTCTTCTATGGAGCATGTATGATGCAAACTATGTCTAATTAATGGAGGCTAGTTTGCATCTAGTATGTTTGTTTAGGACTCGGAAGGCCCCAGCCCAGTTCAAGAACTACAGCACATCATTTAATGACTCTGTATCTATGCAAGATGTAATAGTTAAAAGAATTTATCTAGAGCAAGAGAGTATTTTGATCACATAAGCAGCATAATAAAACAGAAAACACATTCCACAAACTATTGGGTTATAGCCATACCCTCAAAGGAAAAAAACCCAAGTTTTCAACCTTGTATTTCTCATTACAAACAAACAAACACTTAATGACTTAATTATCGGGGATAACCACAAGTCACAGGTGCATCTCTGTCAGTTTTCCGCCACCTTGTGGTAATACAGACAATAGTAATGTAATGTTCAAGAGGGCTGGCGAGTCTCATTCAAAAAAGGTCACATAAAATGAAAAATAATTCCTGAGGTATCTAAATGTTGCAAGACATAAATTAAATTTTCATATAAAGAATTCAAGGTACAAACAGGAAAAAAACAGAAAGAAATGCTTCCTGATTCCAACCATATTTTCTAAAGACTCTGCAAGTCTTAGACACCAAAGGCAGTGTCAGAAATCATTTTTCTTTGTGCGATTTTGAATGGATGGGGTTGAGGGATTGAAAGTGTGGTCTGGTATTTGCAATTCCATGTGCAAAGAAAGCAGTACAGTAAATAATGATTGTATTGTTCAAATAGAAACAAATTTGGGGCTGCAAGAAAAAAGGAGGCTCTCTTTCAAGTATTTTCAGATAGACAGGGTCAAAATTCACCATGGAAAGATAATGAACATTTCCTATCAATGCTTAACATGTAGATTGTAGGTCTCCCACACCAAGCTTTTCTCAGAGTATTGTAGCCTGAACTTCTACCCTTTCATTTTAAATGCTGACAGATATGTTTGTCCAGTTTCAGTGCAGACCTGGAGGTTTTGTATAGATAAATACCAGCAAAGATAATATCAATTTCCATTTCCCAAAGTGTTTTAAGAATGACAACTGTTAAATAGTATATAACAGCTAAATATTCTCACAAAATTGTGATGGTATTTGTTCATATAGGAGCATGTTGAATGTTACTTTTAAATTACTGAGTATGTGTCTTTGGATTACATTTCTTTCAGTATCTTTAAAAAAATCTAGGACATGTGTTACTAGTAGTAAGTAATAAGTAAGTAGTAAAGGGAAATAAAAATTGTAATCGCTTCTTTAAAAAACATCCCTATATTATTACTTTGAAATTAAATACCACAAAAAAAACCAAAAACCAAAAACAAACAAACAAAAAAACAGAAAGAAAAGTCCCCCAGAGGATGGAGTAGTATAAAATCAGAGCCATGTCCAGTTCGTTCATCTCTGTTCATGCTATGGTATGTTTTTAGTTTTGATTGCAAGAGCTTTGGAGAAGGCTCCAAAGATCAAATGATTAAATTTTGGACTTAGTGAAATCTATGTAAATGTTGCCATTGAATTGAACAGGGATGGAATTCCACCTGTAGACATCAATAAAAATACTCAACGTATAAACTACGTAAACGATAATATTTGAAGGAACAGACCCTAAAACAGGGAACAACAATGCTGTGCTCTCTTCAAGGATGTTGGAAGTAACTTTTCAGTTGTGTGCATTGATTTCTGTTGTTTCATTGCTAACTTAATTAGAGGTTTATACAGCCTATTCTGTTTCTGTTGCTTCAGCTCAGTGGCACCGTCAAATTCCACAACCAATAAAGCTTCGACCTGGTGGCAGCCGGTATGCAAACCTTACCGGTCAAGGACTCGACATTTTTTCTGCCTTCCCAACTACTGAAAGCCCTATGCTGTTTTCATCCCCAACCCAGAAGGTGGTGGAGAGTGAAGAACTTTGAAAAACAAACAATTGTTCCAGTTATACCTGCAGAGATACTAGAACTGTGGGAAAAAAAAAAAAAAAAAAAGAGGTACAAGTCAAGATGCTCAAAGTTTACAAGCAACTTGTTTGTAATTAAGTGTACTGCTGCTGCAAATGTTGCAAGTAACATATCATACAAGACTTTTGCATATTATTTTACTGCAGGATAATTGTGGTATGGAGTGTTGTGCAATAAATTCAGTACTGTGTAGTTTGTTAAGAATTACATAGTAAACATAGTTTTCAGCACTTAAAAGCCAATACCACTTTTACTGCTTGAATTAAAGCTACTGTACTGTAGCAAGCCATGTTAAGGATTGATGATGTTTCGCTGGAATACTGCCAGTGAAAACATTGACATTACAATAACAACAATCCTGAATGAGGGTAAACAACATGACTTTGAATGTAATTCTAAAAAAAACATGCCAGAAAATCACAAAGCACAAGTTAAAGGGAAAAGATGTAACTCATTTTTATATATTATTATGCCAGATAATCTTAGAATTTTTGAACTCAAGACTAGATAAAATATAGCGTTTCATGTAGGTACAGCTGTATACTCTATATATTTATATTTTTGTGTGTGTGTACTCCATGAACTGCGTACTCATGGTGTAAGGATTCATAAAGTAAGGCACAGGGCACGTGCATAGGACACTAACATAGGAAACCAAAATTCCTGTTGTCTGAAGCATGTTCTCTAGAGCCCATAGCTGAAACTATTTTCCAGATGTGCTTCATATTTTTTCTTTACCATGATAGTGATTCTCTGTCTTTAAACACAGATGATATCAAGCTTGTAACTTCACCGTTTTTAAGTATCAGTCTCTTTTTTCTAATTTTTAACATGACTAAAAGAAAAGTGCATCTACCATCTAGCTCATTTTTTAACTAACTGAAAAGGAATTATGATCTGGTGGAATTTAAATTTTCGCCATCATTTAGGAAATAATCACCAGCGTGGTGTCTACTATAAAGACAGAGAAAATTCTGTTAATATTTAAAAGTTATGAAGTTAAGCAACAGTTAGGTGCAAAGAGCTAAAAAACCTACTGTAACTAATAGTAGTAATATATAAAGCAATTTAATGAAAGTGCAACAGAAGGTGTTCAGTGACAACACTTAGTGATTGATTTAAATATATTTAGCATCTATACAGTTGTATTAATACCTCCCAGCACTTAGAATCTGTGAATATCTAAGATGATTTCCTGCATCTTTAAATTATTGATATCCCTCTTCTTTGGAGATCGTTTTCAAGCAGTTCTTACTTACTGCTTTCAACATGGCTGGAGAATGCAACAAAGTCCTGATGAAAGTCACAGAGATAAAAAGAAAAATTAACAGATACTTTCATTTTAGACCTTATTTGGATTTTTTAAAAGCTAAAAATGTAACTTAAAAATAATTACATACACAAAGAAAACAATAAGGAGTTATCTTAAGAGCAAAGGATACTGGATACACCTCAGACTGAGAAAGAGAGAGCCTTTCATTGGGTTTCCTACAAATACAGCTTATGTTGTCTCTAACTGTTGGTGCCCTAAGGGTTTAGAGGAAGTGAATTTCTTGTATTGTTCCACTTCCCACCTGAGTGAAGATCATAAAACAAAACCATCATTAAAACTTTCATGCTTTTGTTAGAAATCTCAGGCGATTCACCCCAGACTGAACAGACCAGGAAGCTAAAATACATTCTTATCCTGAGGGACAAAAGAAGGTGCACATATTTCAGTGGGAAAGCAGAAATACCAGCTGTTGCCCATGTTGTAGCTCCTCCCTGGCAAACAAAATAAAACTAATAGCTATTAAAAGTGATGCATTGATTCAAGTGACTTCAGTTATGGGGTGCCCAACCTAGGATACATTGTGGGTCTGATTTTCCAGGATAGAGAACCTACTGCTCCTCTTATCTTCACTTGTTTTTAGGATACCTTAGGGATTCCAAAACTAAACCTAGACTGAGTCAGAGTTGGGCAACCCCAAGTTTAAAGTTTCCCGTATTAGTAACTACTCTTGGGAAAATAATCCAAGGAAAGTTATTGAATTTCGCTTATTTAATCCAGTGCTGTTGGGAAGTGGGAAGAGAGAAAATTAAGACACAAAAGGTCAAATTCTACTCCCACCCACAGCCCTGGTCTTCCCATTATTTCATGCCAGAACTGAAGAGTAGATGTTGATTCGAAGTATTCCAAGTTGTATATCAGCCATCAGGCTTTATACCTAGCACAGGCTTAGTCAAGCGATTGTCTGCTCAGAACTCCCCTGTGGCCCCCTTGTCTGGCCTTGAGTGAGGGGTTGGACCAGATGACCTCCTGAGGTTCCTTCAGAACTAAATCACTCTATGCTTCCTAAATTATTTTACTTTCCACTGCTTGTCCAAATACCCTATGTGGATGAAGTTACCTATTGACTGAGTAGAAACTAAGAATTGAAGCAAGCACAAACTTTTCCTTTTTGACTGGGATATATCCTATCGGGCAATTCTAACTACAAGTGATCACTTTAATCAGAGTCCTTTATGTAGTTTAGAAGAAAGGAACACTACTACTTACTATAAGCAAATATCTAGTTACCAGTGCTGGAATCATACTTGTTAAAATTACTGACAGTAGTAGTGGTTCTCACATTTTACAACATCAGACAACACACCCAAAAACTCAGTACAAATTAAAACACAAAGTGCACAGAGAAAATATGTAAACCATATCTCTTCAACCTTTTCTCCATGACTTTAGTGGAATGTCTCCAAACTTACATCATTATAACCTGAACTGACAAGCTGAGGATTAAGTGGTACAATGTTTTTTAAAATGTACATTCAGTTCTTTGGAAGTGAGAGGACAAGAAGCTACTGCTGAAAGACTTTTCCCAAAAATCTGTGTAAGAAGGATTAATTCTTAGTCATTCAAGAAGGGGCCCCAGCAGTCTCACTGAGAGGTAGCCTACAGAGAGTGGATCACCAAAGTCTGTTGGCTGAACTGTAATATTCTCTCCTTGGCAGTATTTACTAGCAAAAGGATCAAAACTTTACCCATCACATCTCCTTACATAATGCAGAAGTCAGTAATTTCAATTACGTTCAGTGCATCCGATACAAACAAAATCAGAATCTCATCCTAAATATTCTGTAGTCATTAAATTTTGCTCATTAACTGCTACAGGACATTTCTCCTCTGCATATACTGAGCCCATAAAATGAGTATGTAAAGGAAGTATATGTGAATGGATGTAAATGCTGTTAATAGTAGTACTGATGTGCTCATCACAAAGACGACTTGCTAGAAAAAGACACAAAAATTATGTTTGTGTTGTCAACTGATGGAAAAGCCAAGGGAAAAAGGCTTGTGTGAGCAGTGGAGATGACACTGAGTTGTCACAAAACATGTGATGCTGTTTGCGTTCATGTCCCATGAAGGATGGCACTATCTAATCATACTGTGTCAAGATGCACTAGAGACTATGCAACTGTGCTCCCTTCCAGAACAGCTTGGCTGTTCATTGTTTTTGTTTAATTGAATAACTGATTTGACGCCACACTACCGTGGTATTTCATTCTCTTATTCAGGGCAGGCTACTGCAACAACAAAAATCAATGTCAGAACTTCCACTGAAGTCAGTGTTAGCTATTATCTTCCAAAAGTCTATTAAATCACCACAATGTGGAGCATAACATTGTATCGGTGAGATACAGAAATGCTCAGTTTTGTAACCTCTTAGTGTTTTCTGACTCAGAATCTTGTAGGCTTGTTTAGTTTCCTGTTTCCTTCTAGTCCTGGTTTCGTATACAATCAAACAGAGGCACAGCGTATTTCACAGAAGAGCAGAAATGACAACTTTTGTATTGCAATTCTAGAAAGCAAAAGTATTATCTTTGCTTTAAAATTTTGGTCCAGCTTGGTGCAAACCCAGTCCTCAGCAGCATCGCATAGCAGTTTGCATTGATACCGTTGGACTTCTTGCCTTAGAACAGCTGGATTGAGTTCCTTTGCTTCCATATGGAAGGTGGAGCATACCTTCTGAATGCCTCACATCTGCTAACATGAGGAGAAGATGAGAGCATACGCTTCAAAACACAAAAAGCCATGTCTGCAGTCTTTATCTTAATATGTAAACAATTGCCAATTCCAACTGTTTACAGTAATCATAAGTACTTCAAAGCAACAAATCTGGAATAAGAATTCCTTTAAGAAAGTTCTTAATGCTACCAGGTTTAAAAGTATTAGTTTCTGGAAAATGTCTTCGTACAAAATGATTACCAAAACCTAATGAAATATTTTAACTGTTAAATATTGGAGAAGTGATTAATTGTTAATTGCCTTACTATTTCCAATACAAAGATGTTCACTTTGAGCCTTAAAATTCTATTTTATAATTTTTTCTTTATTAAAGTTGATATTTTTTATTTTTTGATCCAAAGTCATTCTCACTGGGAAGAAAAATGTTAATGTCAGTTTTAAAGTATATTTTAAGTGCATATGAAAGAAAAAATCAAACACCTGCCTGTTCAGTAATGTATTTCCCTTCGTCTCACCTAAACTTAAATAAATGCTTCAGAGTTGCATACAAGAGTGTCCTTCACGTGTTCAAGTAATTGTGAAAGTCTGCAACAAGACCAGAGGTTTCCTCAGAACTTTACTGTGACAGCTGATTAATGGAATCAGACCTTACATTATTTAGAAGAAAATCATAAAATACTGTCGAGTTATATACTAGCCATGCTTCTAGCAGGTAGTTGTGAAATACAGTTGTTGCTTTTTTAAACAATTCTTAATATCAATTTGCTTTGGGTTTAAATCATGGTTTCTTTTTCTGATAACCTCAGCCCCTTCCTCCAAGTTTGAAAGAACAAGTTTTCTCAGGAGTACCAGAGCAGAAGCCAAGGAGTGAGTCTGTAGGGCAATTTGCATGTTTCCAAGGTCAACAGATTTGCCAAATTCTCGGTATCTTGGAGAATTAGTCTCCAAAGCCTATGCTTGAGCATATAGTTCTACCTACAGACTGTCATAGCTGAACGCCATTGTGTCTCAAAAATTCATGCAGAATCTGTCTAACTGCATTGGTCGCCTAGCCCACACAGACCCTGAAATACCTGTTTGCTGGGCCTAGACCGATGCTCCTGGAAGTCTTTCTGTGCAGTAGGGCACTGGAGACCTGTTACAGAGGACTGACTTATTTTTCAACACTAAGCTGTGTATCCAGCGCTTGAACAAGTGAGAATTGAATGAGGGCCAATCAAACACACAAACCACACTGAATTTCACTCTTCCCTATACAGGTCTTCAACTTGAATTATTTAGCATATTCTTTGGATAAGGGTCCATTAGTAGACTTTGGAATGAATTTTAAATGAGCAGCAGATGCAAAACCAACACTTGAAGGAAGCTGGATCTTATAGCTCAGATACAGAA